GAATAGAGTAGAGTGAAAGATGGAGTTCTGATAGTCTTACTGACTTCAGATAAGATGGAATATATGAATTCGAGAAATAATCATGATACAAAATAGACTCTGAGTAGAAACAGTGTTCAGATTTTCCGAATGACGATAGTCTCTTGCCAGTTCCCATCATTAGTTTAAATACGTAACTAAGGGATTATTACCGATTAGCTACTTTTGACATCAAGCATTCCTTAAGGATGTGCCACCTGCCACAGTCAGAACCCTAAATTTGCCAAAACTAGTTTCCTCAAATCCCTTTAGTCGGAACTGGTTTAGACTAGTTAAAGCCAGAATTAACCCTTAATTTTAACGGAGCAGTTGAAACTAATTTTAACTGAAATGAAGTTCGTCCTGAAAACTCATCACTGATTGTGAGCGGTCTGATACGGACGAGAGTTATCAACTGATTAAAATTGACGTTCCGGCTGACCATTATTGTTCTCCTTGTCTGTTTACATTCTATATCTTGACATATGAGACGGAATATTGGCGAACCAAGTGACTATTGAACTGTATTCGTAAGTTTGGGGATCAGTGTCAGGCAGTATCTAAGTCAGTGTAGCGCTGTGTTTAATCGAGTTGTGTCGCGTGATAGTGCATAAAAAAGTGAGGTTTTTAAATTTATAGTTTTAAGGCTTCATTAATAAGGAACATAAAGTATGTGCATGTGGTTAAAATATATCAACAGCTGAATATAAGTCTCTATTTCAGGAGGCCGAAGTGGTTACATCATCAACTAAAAAACCGCTGCTCAATACAGTCAGATCAAAAGGTTTAATATTTTAACTGTCGGCAATTTAAAAAAAAAATAAAAAAATACAAAAAAAAACCTTTTAACCGTGGAGAGCCCCCTAAATATTACAGTCCAGTACAAGAAATGTTTCATGTGCTTGAATCAGCAAACATCGACGGGATCCGGAAAGGGATTTGTCAGATGTAACTGTAAAAAGTCCAGCGGGCCGATTATTGAATTTAAAAGCAGCCCGATAATAAGACATCGAATTGCGATGTATTGTATGGTTGAGACAGGGTGGTGTCTTGATGGTTGTGTCTTGTCGTGTCGGGCTGACATAGTTTCAATAATCGGGCCGCTGGGATTCAAACCGTTGTTCCTGCAAGAAAATATAATATGACAAAACAGTATCTTCATCATCACTCACGCAATTCTACTTTCTCCTTCAGGGCCGGATTTTCCTACTTGCCGCCCACGGGCCGCGTGTATTTTGCCACCCCCTTCTCATTCCTTTTGAAACATCAATGAAAACCATCAAGTAAACGTGCCAGCGGGAGAGGGGTGCATAGGGTGCGTTTACTCGTGTTGAACACATTTTTTGGGAAAGCCCTATCAACACTATCAGCAAAAAGTCACGGAACTTTGCGCGAAAGTCAAGTTTTGTAAACCTATCTCCAATGGACAAGGCCTTCCATTCATAAGAAATGAACGAAAAAATTATGAAAGAACAAACACACAATTTGGTTTAATGATTTTAACTTCCGGCGCCGCGCCGACCGCACCGTGTTTGGCGCAATGCGTGAAGTACTCACGCAGTCTTGTAGGCGCTATGCGTTTCACGCTGACCGCAATGACCGCACTGTGCTTGATGCAATGCGTGAAGTATTCGTGCAGTCTTGTAGGCGCTAGTATGTGTTACATGCCGATCGCCGCAGCAAGGACTTCTCCTTTTCATCTCAAGTCCTCGTCATCATTTCTCTCTAAGTCGCGCCGTTCTAGGCCAAATTGCGTGTTTGGTTTCTCTCTTAACTCGACTAATTAAAGGTGCTGTCTCTTGTATCACTAAAAGACGACAAAATTAGAAATTACTATACCCCCAGGAAATGAGAGATTTTGTAGCCTTTTCTCGTTTGTAATTTTTTTTTCTAAATCCAATTTTTTTCTATATCTACGTATAAAAAAATTGCAAAATTTGCCGCCCCCTAGATTTGCCGCCATGGGCCGCGGCCCATTAATCCGGCCCTGTTCCCCTTGTCAAAATTGGTTTCATCTGATGATTTTTACGACTACCCACTTTTCACCAGACAGTTCTAGTTCTAATTCATAATCAGTCAAAACCAGGTCTCGGGAAAATAAAGTTAAAACTAGTTCCAACGGTGAAGGTCCCAGTTACTTCTGGGTTTAACTAATCGAAACTCGTTCCAACGAAAGGGGTCTTTGTAAGCAGTTTTGATTCGTCAAAACTATTTGTGACGAATTTTGGGTTCTTACTGTCACGAAAATAAAAGAAAATGTCGCCGAAATGAATGCCGGAAAAACTTAGGCCTCAACTTTCTGGTCGATTCATTTAGTGAGGTGTTCGTGTTTTCATGTGAATTCCGTCCGTGATTGAATACTTCCAATACTGCCGTGCCATAGAAAAACGCCGTATGAGCCTTCACGCGTTGCCAAATTTCCTTCAATAAAATGCGAGTTTACCAGAAATCTTGTGGATGTTATTCTCCCTATTTTTCGCAGAATTCCTCTCAGAATTCATTCTACAGTATCTGGAAATTTCAAGGAAAAACACTCATACCTCCCCTCAAAAATTAACATTTTATCAAAGGAAGTTTAGCAACTCGCGAGTGTTCATGCGGTGTTTTTCCTTTGCACGGCAGAATAGTTGAAGCAATCCCTCGTTTGCAGTAGTACTTTCTTCCTTATCCGCGGGTCCACCATTTTGCCCTTTGCGTCTCGCTGTCTCGATCTTTGTTGTTCACAAATGCTCCCAGCCAAAACCGCCTTCAATTCCTGTGCATGCAACAGTGAGGACAGCGGAGTCGCTTTAGATGTATCTAGCATTGTCAGGCTCTAAGGAGCGCAAGGATCCTAATTCCTAACCCAAGTAGCAGTGGTCGCGATAAATAGCGATTTCATCGGATGATTATCGTGATTATATAGGTGGCAATTTATTGCAATATTATCAAATGAAAAATTGCGACTTATGGCGATTAAATCGCTATGCATCGCAATTTTTTGTTCGACAAAATCGCGATCAATTATCGTCGATAAAATCGAGATTAAATCGCTGTACATCGCGATTTTTGTTTCAATAATATCGCGATATATTGCCGAGCAATGAAATCGCGATTATATTTCCACAAGATCGAGGATAATCGCTCAGATGTTGATGATCCTAGCGATTTTATCGCCGATAAAATCGCAATATATCGCGATTTTTCCGTTGAAAAATGCTACTTGGGAATACGTATCATTTACTAATCTGAACAGATTTCATTGTGTAGTACGTGAAGGCCAAATATGTAGGGTTTCTTCCTCCTATTTTTAATTTTTCTTAATGTTGGATCGGAATGAAGAACTCTGCAAAATATATTATTATAATATTCCAACGGGGCCTCCTTTTTGACATCTATTAAACATGAGAGCCTTACAAGCACAACGATTCATAATTATTTGTATGTATATTATAGTGGTATCAGCTATTAGCTGTCAACGTGATTTTTCTGCTCTGTGCAAAGAAAACTCTGAAAATTTCAAGGAATGTTATTGATTTGTTATCCTTCAAAGAAAATAAAATGAGAGCGGATATTTTTAGACTCCGCAAACGAGATACGGCCTGGTAGTCAATGGTCGGCAATCACATAACTCGGTTTGCGACGTCGCAGACATCTTGTCATACTTACTTTATTTTTTCAACGGAAAACTACCTATTCGATGGCAATTCTTTAGAACTGCCGTGATTTTTCTTCTCTGTGCAAAGAAAATCCTACGAATAGTTCGAGAAATGATGTGAATTTGTCCTCCTTTAAAAAAAATAACATAGAGGCGGATATTTTCTGACACCGCAAACGAGATGTGTGATTGCGAACTTACGCCGTGTGTATATATATATATATATATCTCCATAAACTTCAATATTAAAGCCAAAATACAATGTTTATGTAACTCATTGGCAGAAATCGTCCACTTGATGTTCGCCTTCAATTTCGTCGCATAGGTGACAAATAGACACGGGAGAGCTCGATTAGTTATACCTCTTCGAAAAACGCACATTTATTGCACTCCTTAAGTTTTGAATGTTTTAATTTACATATCCTTAGTTATCACTTATCCTTCATTATCCTAGTTTGCAGTTGGATAAATGCTGTACCCAAGGAATAAATTCTCCAACTATTAAAATACACTAAATTTACAGTAAATCATTCGTATTTAAACTACCAACTCGCACGAATGAAGTATAATTTATTCTCCATTTTTTAAGTATTAGGGATATATCTTTTGCTCGAAGCTTATGTTCATTAGTTAGCCGTGCTCTTAATTAATAACTTTTTATGCTACAGTTACATCATATCTATATTTGCTACGTTGTATGGATCAAAATCTGTAAGGTATTAACCAGAAATTAGCCTAACTATCTGCGTCAAACATTGCCTAATTTCCTCGCGTGTTATTTTTTTTTTATCAGGAAACGAAACAACATTCTGACTTGAAACAACTTCGCGAGTAAGCTCCTTATAAAACATAGACGATTCTCTGGAAGTCGTAAGAGGTAAAGATGTTCAGGTAATTTTCTCTTCAAACAAGGCGTCAACGTGAAAGTAGTCGGATTCATTCTGGCGGTTGAAGCAATTCATTCAATTGTGCTAATTTTTCATTCCGCTGACACAGAGAAATCTGCGGGCTGATTATTGGAAATGATAGACAAATCAATAGACAACGAAGAGAGATAGACACGGGAGGGACTCTATTGGTGGTAACGGATAGTTGTCATGACCAACGAGGTAAGTAATAACGGCAACCCAAAAGAGACCCTTTAGTTAGTCAATCATGTTCTGTACCTCAGTCTATAACATCAAACCTTTTCAACCAAAAGGATCGCTGAATTTTCCGTTTGTCTTCTTTGTCTATGGCTCTGTCTATCAATTTTAACGATCAGCCAGCAGCTCGGTTGAAACGATTTTGCTTACCTTTTTCTCTGTCAATTCATGTAATACAGCATCATTTTAATATGTTTCAGATGAAGCTGTTACGGAATACGCTCGGACACCGCTAAGAAGAAGTATCGACACATCACAGTGGTTCTTTCTCCATTTCTCCTCTCCGTACCCTCTGGACGACGCTTCTTATCGACTAGAAGCGATCCCTTTCTCGTCCTTCCTTGTGTTAAAGAGGTAGGAATCCATCATGATCACCAATACGGCCTTTGAGACTTATGTGTGCTACTATCCCCTTGGCAACACTCCACCTGTGTCTTTAGCACAAGACTTACCCCCAGAACAAGATGCTGACATCCTTTTATTAGGATGCGGTGATGCTAGAAACATTCTATTCACTTGTTTTGTCGACAATGCCCGACGAATGGACGTAACATGCTGTGATATCGAACCAGGAATCCAGGCTCGGAATGTTCTACTTTATTCCTTGCTCATTGACGACAAACTAAATCTGAATGTCGACCGTATTTGGAACATTTACTACCACTGGTCTTTAGACGATGATTCCGTAGAACTCCTCGAAACTCAGATCGAGAAACTACTGCAGCATTCAAAATCCATAGTTGAATGGCATAACTCAGTCTATGGATCAACTATCCGTTTTTGTGACGAAATGTCTCTTTCTCGCGTCAAGAGCTACTGGTCCAATTTTTCTTCTCGAGGTCTCTCCCCCGCCAGCAATGAAGAGAGACTGCGCCAGTTGAAAAACGCCCACGCCAGAGCCAAATCCTTCAGGACTGAAATGTTAAATGGAGGTATAAATTTAAATTATTTTCGTGGTACACTTCCTGCCGCATATGCACAAGCCCCTCAAGACTTGTCGGAAATCGCTGTTCATTGGTGGACGCACGGTACGTTACCGCTACGTTCTGGACCAGCCTCGAAAAGCATTCACCTAAACCCGACATTTTTCTACTCCCCAAACTCAGCGCTAACGTTACACTTTGGAATCTCGCCTCTTTCAGGATTCCCTCTAAGTATTGCGAATACTCCGATCGAGAAAACGTGCCCCCTCTCAATAGAAAAAAATGGTCTGTCGTCAAAGGACCGTCTCGTTGCAAGTGCCAAGTGCCTTTTCTCAAACTGGGCCTCAGCATTCAGAAGAGTGTCAGGAAAAAATGTATTAATTCGAATCTTCTGCGGCGATGCTGTTCATTTCTGTTTCACTTTGGCCAGCGAATGTGATAAAAGTTCGCCGACCAAATTTGACTGTATCGATACATCGAATCTAGGCGATCCCCTGGGCCCATTGAATTTGCTAACTCTCGGATCAGTTTTGCTGAAGAAACGTCCATCCAGTAGTCTTTACACAGAGATGCTGGTGCAGCATTATTCGAACGTCAAAGACCGCTTCACGGAATCGATGGGTTGTGATGCACGCACCGTGGCATTACTACTTGGACTTGTATGTCCTGATATGTTCACAAATGCAACAAATTGTGTCGAGGAGGACACATTAAATATAAAATGTCTTCAAAGGAAGACCGGTAGAGGAGTATCTCAAGAAAGATCTCGTTTCCGCTGGAAGCGAATCAATAGTGAACCAAACGAAGCTGCCCACATGCACGCCGAAGCTGAAACGCTCGCCAAATTCTTCATTGATATTCATTATGAAATGTTCAGGTACGAAAGGCCCATGGAGGCGTTTTCTGAAGCCAACACAATGTTCGGTAAATTCCTGACGAACAGCGCCAATCCACGCTATAATCGAGGTAGTTTTGCATTTCTGTTGAGCATCGTGAAATCCAACGTTTCTACTGATTGGGATAAGTGTTTAAAACTGATTTGCGATGAAGTCTGTAGGAGTAGAGTCAACCCGTTTGGATCATTTAATGCATCAGATGAACTGCTCCTGCACATGCGATCTTTTGGAGTCTACCGCAGCGGAGCACTAAAGCTTGAACCCGAAGATTTAAGCAATGATCTCATTGCTCGCGCTCTTAACCTAAATGAAAAGTCGCCAGATACCCTCTGCGTCACTCTCCGAGTACCTAGAGAAAATCTCAAAGTCATCATGAGTCGGAGATGCTGTCCAATCATTGTGGGTAGTATCACCGGTAAAGATCCGAGAGGATCACAATGGGAAAGTTACTTTTCTTCGGTTCATGTAGCGTTTGGTGAATGGTCCGAGAGAAGCGACAAGAATAGTTCTAATCCTTGCTTTGTTGAAGATAGTCGTCAGCAATCGGGAACGTCAGACATGTTTGTCTCATTTTTTGTACCAACAAAGTTGCTGCTCAAAGCAAAACATTCCGTCCCCGTGGTACGATGTCAGTTACAGAGAACACATACGAATATCGCTAACTTTATGGATGAACTGGGATCTTCTGATCTTTGCCTGGTTCGCAAAGAAATCACAAGCAATGATGTGTCCATTACTCAATTTATTCCAGGTATGTCTGTGCTCCCCTCATACCTGGCTTTGAATTTATCACGTACAACAGCATCTGATTTGGTGACGCTCCGTTTTTCTGACGATAGCTCAAAAGTAAAAACGTTGGTCAAGCGAATAGACCTACAAAGCGACGCAGCCAAGGTTTTGGCCGTGAAATCTTCTCCCGTCAAAGTCGAATTTAAGTCACCACTACTGGCAATCGTTACTGTAGCAAACTCTTTTAAGTTTGAGTTTAGATTTCCCTGTCCCGTGTCCGTCTCTAGCAACAATTACAAGGTTAGATTTGGCCGGACATCGTCTTTTATTGAGGTTGAGAGTCCTCTCCTAGACCCTTTGGAGGAAGACGTCGCGTCTTTTATGTTTCCAACCTTTCTAACAAACGGAACATCGGACGTAACCCTACCAACATCATGGATCGCTACTTATATTGATATAGATGCCATGCCACAAATTGATATAACGAACACTCGAAAATTGGAGTGGTTAAATCATCATTTATTGCCTATGCTTTTCAGGCGAGAGCGATCAGCAGGAGCAAGCGACACGCGGACTGAGTTTAAGCGTAGCCTATATTGTATTCTTGCCGAATTTACAGGCTTGCAAGGTAAGAAAGTAAACATTTTTGCACTGAAGAAGAAGGATTCTCCTGTGGAAACTATAATCATACCATCTTGCCTTCGCCTGGACTTAGTAAACCACTCAGTCGTATTAGACTGCGCCGTACTCCCTCGCAATCATATCATGTATAACGATAATCTTTTAGCAATGTTCTTGATGAAGATTACTCCTACTACGTGCGCGATAGATGTCGGCGAAGCAGAGAACCGTGCGTGGAAAGCCCTTTTGCCTGCTTTCGCCGAGAGGTGCCGCACGAACACCACATGGACGCACGGACCTAATTGTGAGTACGTAAAGAAAGGTGAGATTCCTTTGGCTGCTGCGCTCATTCAAAGCAACGCATCACCTATATGCACTTGTGGTGTCGGAAAATTTCCGGCCGAAGGTTATCTCGGTAAACTGAAAGAAAAATACCCCGAGTTGAATTATGTGCTTAAGCGATATGCCACGCGCGCCGCCATCGCGCCAGTCTTCTCAGTTCCATATGTGGAGGATGATTTTTTGGCGGGAATCAGCAGCATCGTCAAAAGTATGGGCACGATTGACAAATGTCAATCGTGTGGATCTAATAAAAGGAAAAATGACGAAGAAAAGCAGAACAGCCTATTAATTTGTTCCAGGTGCAAGGCTGTCAAGTACTGTTCCACAGATTGCCAAAGAGCAGATTGGAAACGGCACAAATTGTCCTGCGGCAAGTAATGTCGCATGCTAGAAAAATCAGGAAGAACCCTGAATCATCAAATTTGAAGATCACGTGCCGTAGCATCACACGTTGCATTTCAGTATCAGTACGTCAAGTTAATCGAAGATTATTTTTTCTGTAATTAAGTAAGTTCCTCGTTTTTGATTTAGGATAATGCGATTGAATTTTTCAGTGAGCAAAGCCTTGGAAGCTGATTTTTTTAGTTTCTCGACGATTCAAGCGCATTCAGTAAAAAGAAACACATCCTTATATGAATCCTTATGCTTGTGGCTCCTTTTTTTGTTGAATGCAGTCCACTCATCAAAATAAGTATGGATTTTTGTTCAAATTTTCCTATATATTCTCTCATTTTTCTCTAATGACCCAACTAAACTTTTTGTTTACCTACATTTTTTCTATTTTATCATTCCTCTCTCTTTGATTTTTCTTTCAATTTTAATTGGACTCCTCCATTTTTCATTTCTTAATTTTCGTTTTTTTTTACTTGAATGGTTTACCCGTGTGCCTGAAACATTTTATCATTCTCAAAATTTGTGTAATCCACAGTATTTTCTACTTAAGTGCGTAATATCTTGCCCGCTAATTTTATGATTTTTACTTGAATTTAAATTTTAATGACTCGTCTATCATTTTCATTTTTTATTTGCCTTTTTCACATGAGCGAACAGTATGTTCATGCGTCTGAAATATTTTATAATTCTCAAATTTTGTGTAATTCTCAGTATTTTTTAACTCGTATCTACCTCTTTGCTCGTACTTTATTACAACACTTACCTTGGTAGATATTTTAGTAAGATCTTAACTGACACTTTATTATTACGATATACTTTTTCGTTTCCAAATTGAAAAACTATTTTAATGCCTGTCTGTAAGGCCCCTGTTTGCCATTTTCTATATTCTCAATTCATTGTTTGCTTTGGCGATGCTTAGAAGTTGGCAACACTGTTTTCCTCCACTTAAATGTGTGTTAAACAATCGATTCTTGGGGAGGCAGCTTGTCTCACCTAAAATCGATATTTTTCATGGGTTTAAATGAGGGACAAACAATGTTGTCAAATTGAAAAATCTCCACTGATCGTTTTTTCTTCCAATGTCCATACTCTGTAATTGCTTACGAATTTTGTTTAATATTGCCGAAGCCATGAACGACAGTTGTTCCTCTGAAGGATTTTATAAATGAGTCGACACTCCCCAGCTGCGCTTTCTATGTTAACACTATATATTTGTTATTGGCATTTTTTTTCCTGTACTCTGTGTATTTTCGTGCACATGTTCTTCCTCTTTGGTGAACAATGAAGTATGTAACGAAAAAAAACACCCTTTCCATGAGACTTATTTGACCTCCGCTGAATTTTTGTATCATTCTTTATCCGTATTTAATGNAAGTCACCACTACTGGCAATCGTTACTGTAGCAAACTCTTTTAAGTTTGAGTTTAGATTTCCCTGTCCCGTGTCCGTCTCTAGCAACAATTACAAGGTTAGATTTGGCCGGACATCGTCTTTTATTGAGGTTGAGAGTCCTCTTTTAGACCCTTTGGAGGAAGACGTCGCGTCTTTTATGTTTCCAACCTCTCTAACAAACGGAACATCGGACGTAACCCTACCAACATCATGGATCGCTACTTATATTGATATGGATGCCATGCCACAAATTGATATAACGAACACTCGAAAATTGGAGTGGTTAAATCATCATTTATTGCCTATGCTTTTCAGGCGAGAGCGATCCGCAGGAGCAAGCGACACGCGGACTGAGTTTAAGCGTAGCCTATACTTTATTCTTGCCAAATTTACAGGCTTGCAAGGTAAGAAAGTAAACATTTTTGGACTGAAGAAGAAGGATTCTCCTGCGGAAACTATAATCATCCCATCTTGCCTTCGCCTGGACTTAGTAAACCACTCAGTCGTATTAGATTGCGCCGTACTCCCTCGCAATCATATCATGTATAACGATAATCTTTTAGCAATATTCTTGATGAAGATTACTCCTACTACGTGCGCAATAGATGTCGGCGAAGCAGAGAACCGTGCGTGGAAAGCCCTTTTGCCTGCTTTCACCGAGAGGTGCCGCACGAACACCACATGGACGCACGGACCTAATTGTGAGTACGTAAAGAAAGGTGAGATTCCTTTGGCTGCTGCGCTGATTCAAAGCAACGTATCACCTATCTGCACTTGTGGTGTCGGAAAATTTCCGGCCGAAGGTTTTCTCAGTAAACTGAAAGAAAAATACCCCGAGTTGAATCATGTGCTTAAGCGATATGCCACGCGCGCCGCCATCGCGCCAGTCTTCTCAGTTCCATATGTGGAGGATGATTTTTTGGCGGGAATCAGCAGCATCGTCAAAAGTATGGGCACGATTGACATTTGTCAATCGTGTGGATGTAATAAAAGGAAAAATGACGAAGAAAAGCAGAACAGCTTGTTAACTTGTTCCAGGTGCAAGGCTGTCAAGTACTGTTCCACAGATTGCCAAAAAGCAGATTGGAAACTGCACAAATTGTCCTGCGGCAAGTAATGTCGCATGCTAGAAAAATCAGGAAGAACCCTGAATCATCAAATTTGAAGATCACGTGCCATAGCATCACACGTTGCATTACAGTACTTCAAGTTAATCGGATATTATTTCTTCTGTGATTCAGTAAGTTCCTCGTTTTTGATTTAGGATAATGCGATTGAATTTATCAGTGAGCAAAGCCTTGGAAGCTGATTTTTTTAGTATCTCGACGATTCAAGCGCATTCAGTAAAAAGAAACACATCCTTATACAAATCCTTATGCTTGTGGCTCCTTTTTTTGTGGAATGCAGTCCACTTATCAAAATATGTATGGATTTTTGTTCAATTTTTCCGATATATTCTCTCATTTCTTTCTAAGGACCCAACTAAACTTTTCGTTTACATTTTTTCTATTTTATCATTCCTCTCTCTTTGATTTTTCTTTCAATTTTAATCGGACTCCTCCATTTTTCATTTTTTTTACGTGAATAGTATGCCCGTGTGCCTGAAACATTTTATCATTCTCAAAATTTGTGTAATCCACAGTATTTTCTACTTAAGTGCGTCATATCTTGCCCGCTAATTTTATAATTTTTACTTGAATTTATATTTTAATGACTCGTCTATCATTTTCATTTTTTATTTGCCTTTTTCACATGAGCGAACAGTATGTTCATGCGTCTGAAATATTTTATAATTCTCAAATTTTGTGTAATTCTCAGTATTTTTGAACTCGTATCTACCTCTTTGCTCGCACTTTATTACAACACCTACCTTGGTAGATATTTTAGTAAGATCTTAACTGACACTTTATTATTACGATATACTTTTTCGTTTCCAAATTGAAAAACTATTGTAATGCCTGTCTGTAAGGCCCCCGTTTGCCATTTTCTATATTCTCAATTCATTGTTTGCTTTGGCGATTCTGAGAAGTTGGCAACTCTGTTTTCCTCCACTTAAATGTATGTTAAACAATCGATTCTCGGGGAGGCAGCTTGTCTCACCTAAAATCGATATTTTTAATGGGTTTAAATGAGGGAAAAACAATGTTGCCAACTTGAAAAATCTTCACTGATCGTTTTTTTCTTCCAATTCCCATACTCTGTAATTGCTTACGAATTTTGTTTAATATTGCCGAAGCCATGAGTGACAGTTGTTCCTCTAAAGGATTTTATAAATGAGTCGACACTCCGCAGCTGCGCTTTCTATGTTAACACTATATATTTGTTATTGGCATTTTTTTCCTGTACTCTGTGTATTTTCGTGCATATGTTCTTCCTCTTTGGTGAACACTGAAGTATGTAACGAAAATCAAGACCCTTATGAGACTTATTTGACCTCCGCTAAATTTTTGTATCATTCTTTATCCTTATTTAATGATTTCCCCATCATCATTTTTGTATCACAGCATGCTGCATGGTGACGGTAGAAGTCTCTCGCATACCAGCCAATTTTCTGTGTCAATAGTTTGTCAGTTTTCTCGTCCCGGTTTTGTGAATTTTTTTTCAATATGAATTAGTCACTCAATAACCCAAATGTGATTGTCCCTATCACCTTCAATGGGAACTGAGCAAAAGCCCTTAGCCTATCTCTCGATGTATGTCATTTAATTGAAATACCATAATTTTGTTTTGTTTCGTTTTGTCCGCCATTTTTTCATATTTTCATTATTAGTATTGTGTTTAGAGATTTTTTATTAAGAATTTATTTTTTTACTGTTATATTCGTTGGAATTATAATAAGTTTGACGTACCTAATGAAAATATAAGCTAGATAATTTTTGATCTTTTCGTTGCATTTTAATCACAACTGACCTCTCTATCTAAGGAGCTTGAATTCCTCGTTGGAAACGCGGTAGATAATTTAGTGAAATTTGATTTGCTTACTTTAAAAAAATAGGCCAATTGGAAATCACGCATCTCGATTGCGAATTATCAGAAGTTTTGCCCACTTTTTATTTTTTAAGGATACAAAAATCAACTGAATGGCTTGAAATGCATACGAAATAGAGATGAGAATGATAGGTGAGGGGGGAGAAAAAAGTGAGATCAAATTTTAAGTCATAATTTGTATTTTTTCTCCTCTAACGGTTAAATGAAATGACATCGTCTGACTCATTGTCAGTGTAATCTCATCGTCCTGTTCGCTACCACTTTATTTTTTTGCTTTTTCTTCTTTCTCCTTTTTTTGGTTTTTTTTTTGTTTCTTTAAGTCTGACTATATTCATAGGAGGATGTTATTTTGATTGGCGATAAGTGTTTTTTAAACGCTCCGATGATGACGAAAAGCCGACAAGCTCAGGCGAGGAATAAAAGGATTGCAAGTTCGATCAGTAGGCGACAGTTACCTCTGATTATTTTCTTCCTGAAGTCATCGGCATAACTACTGTTGAACGTATCTTACATTTGTTTAGTTGTTCTCTTATCTAACCCTCGTAATATATCATTACAACTTGCAACCAACCATCTAAACAGAAGTAGGCGTTTTGATACAACTATTTTAACGTTCAGGAGCCCGCTTTTGCCTACCCTCTCACATGAAGGCGAATCTTTCTGCCGATTACATCCACACAATCAATTATTGTGCCGTCGATCGATTCCTGCGCGGTTCTCAATAAGCTGTCTCTCTTTCTCAAACACCTTATCAAACATATAAATAACATTCCCTCCTTCAAGTCGAAATCCATTTGAGGTGTTGACGTATCAGACGTAAATCCAAACTTTCCCTAAAAATCAACACTAAAATGTGACATAAATAGCATGGAAAACTGACAGTCAGTAGGTGCAGAATAACTTATCTGCCTCGCTGATTCAATGTTCCTTTACTTGTTCCGAATGATGCTCTCATACACATTAAGCGCTCAAATTGCTCATGTGAAATTGATTAGGGTAATTTAAAAGAGGAAAGAGATACCGGGTCCCTTCGAGTCATTGCGGCCCGAATCGTAACAAACGACAAAATTATGGAAATGAGCACGAATAAAATGGGTCTCAACTTAACAAATTACTCTTAATAGTTCCAGGAAAGGTATTTAATGCAAAGGAAGTGAAGTGACTTTTTGCTCGCTCCCCTGTTCTCTATCGGGATTGGTAGATGATAAAACCTTGCAAATCTATTTTCTGATGAGCTTTGAGGTCCGTAAGAACACTTGTATTCCATGGCTCATTGTATAATGAGTATCCTCGGTTTAGCATAGACCGATTCAGCTTTTTGTTGCCTCAAATTTCTCCCGTCGCACAGTGGATTGAGTCAATTAGAGACGTCGGACATGAAATTTTTGACGAAAAATGCAAATTTTGATGTTAATTTCGACACATTTTAAAGTTCAAGGGGTGCTTCTGTAGGAAAATTTCACGAGAAAACCAATGGAACCACTTTCAGGACCCCAAAGTTTTGTATAAACGGGGTTACAAGCGTTTAAAGTTTATAAACTTTGTCCGACCTCTTCTATTGACTCGATCCATTGTGCGTCGGGGCCTCTCAGAGTCTCTAATACGGAGAGCCGTATGGGCAAAAATTTATTAACTGAGCGCGGGTGACAGTCTCGCGTGGGGGGCTCGTGAATTTATTATGTAAGTAACTTTTTCGCGAATATATTTTACTTAAAGATCATGGGAGCGACTCAGTTCTTATCACAGTAAAACACTACGGCACTTCACCTGCTTTGCATCTCCCGGTCACGGAGGCAGAGACGGAAAACAGAATTTTCCACCCGGTTCAAATATATCGCAATCCTAAGGACTTCATGCAGGGTGTCTACAAGTCCGGAAATAGTACTCATTTTTTAAGGGCGGTCCGGATGTACTGAAATAGTGCGGAAATTCCGAAAAAAAGGTCCGGAATTTTCCCCTTTTTTGTCATTTTTGTCGTAATTTGAGCGAGAAATTGAAATGTTTCGAATTTCGTCAATTGGAGGTACGGGAAAAGTACTGAATTTTTTTGTTGAGGAGGTACTGAATTCCTTGGGAATACACTAAAAAAGTACCGCAGAAGTACTGATTTCTGGTCAGTCTGTTTTCTTAGACACTCTGTCATGTGTTACTTTTTGTTTTTTCGTACCTGCAACCTGCAGAAATTAATAATAAGGGAAATACAAAGGAAATATCCATAGAACCGCAATGGACCACTAGACAATAGGTACGAATTCAAGCATTCTGATACATGTTTCTTAACCAAAATTCCACCCAAAACACGATTCGCGCAACAAAAATGACTGAAACTAACTCCTAACGAAGAAATTAATGTTTTTATTTCACATTGGTTACAAGGAATTTGAACTGCCCGCTCACAAGAAACTCAAAGCTCTTCGTGAGTCAAATCTCGCACTACAACGGTTTCAGCAATCTTCTCAATCGAGCAATGTTCATTTCCCACCATGTGTTGTTCCAAACTACATGCAATTTGCTACAGCTGAGCCAAAGCGTCAAGATTGAGGTTAAGTTTAAATAAAAGTTTAGCGCGCGATGTGAATCACGCAGAGCATTGAGTTTTCATAAGCGGGTGGTTTGAATTCTCGCATCAAGAATCATTAAATATCTTCGTGAGGAGTTAATTTCGGTAATTTTCGTTGAGCGTATCGTGTTCTACGTGAAATTTCGGTTCGGAAATATGTATCAGAATGCTGAAATTCGTACCTTGTCTAGTGGTCCATTGAACGTATTTATGCTAAATGGAACTATGTGCAAGTGGAAAGAATGGGGTGTGCTCGTTAGTTGCGGGCACAAGAATAAATGGGGGTTTTAAAGCGCCAGTATGACGTCAGCGGCGACGATCGAGACTCAAAACGGTGACGAGCTCGTCGTCGGAGCGCTTTAACTCATGAGCTCTGTCCACAATACTCTTGTCGTATGTCCACGGCTCACGAGTCAGCGCTTAGTTCCTTTTGCGATTTAATGTCAAATCCCGCTTTTCCATTTTCTCAAAAGGAACTGTATCCACTTAACATTGTTTCTTCTGGAGCTCAAACGAGCACACCCCATCTTTTCGCTTGCACGTAGTCCTTTTAGCATAAATAAGTCCAATTTAAATAACCAACTAGATGATTACGAGTCATTTTCGGAAGTGAAAATGTGGAAGGAAAGACGCCCCTCTGATACTGACGATTCGTGTGTTTCCGCAGTCAACTTCAACAAAAAAAAAATTAGGAATAAACGAGGAAAAAAAATAAGGAAATTTCAAAAAACCCTGGTAAAAATTGGCGATAAGAGCTGCGTTTCAAAATACCATAGGAGTTCTTATAGCCGACTGAAGAAGGTGATAGAAAATCATATAGCTGGTTGTAGAAAGTGGAAAAAAATCATACGGCTGGGCTACACGAAGCGATAAAAAATTATACAGCCGGGCTATAGTCTACAGTTCCTATCGCCGGGCTTTACACTATATCGCCTGGCTGTTGCTTTTTCGCCATCGGCTATAAAAGGCTATAGCAAATTGTGTAGAAATTCGTGTGCTTTGTAAATCCTAAAGTTTGTACGGAATCACCTTAATATTTACAAAACGCACATTATATTTTCCTTTACTACATATTTTTTTTCATCAATTAAAATGAGAATAATCCATACAGGATGTGCAAACATTTCAAAATCATGAGTTGAATAACGCTGACTCCTCCAGATTAAATATTAGAGCCTAACACAAAGCGGATAGCGGCGACGCACTGGCGCCTACAAACCTAACAGGGATACTTCACGCATTGCGCAACGCGTGAAGTATCCCTGTTAGGTTTGTAGGCGCCAATGCGTGTTTCGTGCTGGCTGCCCGCCTGCCACGGCGCTTGAAGCAACTATTTCACACCAGAGGTATTGCACAGTATGATACGAAACTGAAGGCGCTCTAGTATATTAGTAATGGTAGGCATCCATCTAAAGTACACGGAGCTTTCCTCGCAAAATAAATCAAGATACTACGGCCCAAAAAGAGAGCAGTATTCAAAAAACTCACTAAGTCCTAGCATCCGTAATTAGTAACGTTTAGCATACACTTTAGCGCCTGGTTGCTGCTTAATCGCCATCGGCTATAAAAGGCTATGAGAAATTGTGTAGCCGGCCATAGAAGCTATTGGAAATCTCACATGTGGCTGTAAGTCTATGGTGTTTTGGAACGCAGATTCTACTGCCAATTTTTACCAGGGAAATAGTATGAAAAATAAAAATCGTTTGACAAGGAATTGAAGGGCAGCCGGGATCTTGAAATGATTTGGGTGAAATTGTTGAAGAAAAGAGGAGCGATGTCTTGTACTTTATTTCTACTCTTATGAGTAGAATATTCTCGTGATATGAGTGGAATTCTTCTCATATAAGTAGGATTTCTACTCATAAGTAGGAAGTTCCACTCATGGCGAATTCTGAATAGCCTACCCGTCATTTTTAGCAGGGAAATCCTATTTGAACGTATTTAATTATTTATGTCCACTAAAAGGAGCCATGCGCAATGAATTAAATGAAACGGAACTTCGGAGCTTGGAAATCGTACATCAATCATCTTGATTTATTTAATTCGCACATAACTTTCTTTAACCTAAATAAGTCCATTAGTGCCCTGGTAAAAATTGGCGATAGGGGCTGCGTTTCAAAATACCATCGGAGTTCCTATAGCCGACTGAAGAAGGCGATAGAAAATCATATAGCTGCCTGTAGAACGTGGAAAAAATCGTGCGGCCGGGCTACACGAAGCGAAAAAAATTATACAGCCGGGCTATAGTTCCTATCGCCGGGCTTTACACTTTATCGCCTGGCTGTTGCTTTTTCGCCACCGGCTATAAAAGGCTATAAGAAATTGTGCAGAA